GCTGTATTAGGGATGTAGCTCAGTTGGTAGAGCATGGCGTTTGCAACGCCAGGGTTGTGGGTTTGATTCCCACGGGGGGCCAGTATGAAAACGTATGCACTCACTTAACTGTAAGTCGCTCTGGATAAGAGCGTCTGCTAAATGACTAAAATGTACTTCTATGGCTGACCCTGTAGAACAACACATTACACTGCTGTGCTACTATGGATGACTTCACTGCACCTATCTGGTGTATGTGACAATAAAACATTTAAAATGTATTTTTCCTCCTCTCTTTTGATGATGTGGGGTGTCCCTGCAATCTTTGGCACGTGTACATATAAAACTGAAAAGACACGGACCATTCGTTTAATGTTGAGTAGCTAGTGACCTTTGCAGAGATATATTTTCTATGTGATGAATGTGATGTTTAAAGGGCTGGCATCAACTGAACGTATTATCCATGTTGTGTCATGATGCTAACTGCAGTCATTTAATTCAGCAAAGGTTTGGTTTTCAAGAGAATCGGCACATCTTTTACCATCTTTAGAATGGTCTGCTACTTGGAGGGTAGCATTATGGTACTGGTCCGCTACTTGGAGGGTAGCATTATGGTACTGGTCTGCTGCTTGGAGGGTAGCATTATGGTACTGGTCTGCTACTTGGAGGGTAGCATTATGGTACTGGTCTGCTGCTTGGAGGGTAGCATTATGGTACTGGTCTGCTACTTGGAGGGTAGCATTATGGTACTGGCCTGCTACTTGGAGGGTAGCATTATGGTACTGGTCTGCTACTTGGAGGGTAGCATTATGGTACTGGTCTGCTACTTAGCATTATGGTACTGGTCTGCTACTTGGAGGGTAGCATTATGGTACTGGGTGCTACTTGGAGGGTAGCATTATGGTACTGGTCTGCTACTTAGCATTATGGTACTGGTCTGCTACTTGGAGGGTAGCATTATGGTACTGGGTGCTACTTGGAGGGTAGCATTATGGTACTGGTCTTCTACTTGGAGGGTAGCATTATGGTACTGGTCTGCTACTTGGAGGGTAGCATTATGGTACTGGTCTGCTACTTGGAGGGTAGAATTATGGTACTGGTCTGCTACTTGGAGTGTAGCATTATGGTACTGGTCTGCTACTTGGAGGGTAGCATTATGGTACTGGTCTGCTACTTGGAGGGTAGCATTATGGTACTGGTCTGCTACTTGGAGGGTAGCATTATGGTACTGATCTGCTACTTGGAGGGTAGCATTATGGTACTGGCCTGCTACTTGGAGGGTAGCATTATGGTACTGCTCTGCTACTTGGAGGGTAGCATTATGGTACTGCTCTGCTACTTGGAGGGTAGCATTATGGTACTGGTCTGCTACTTGGAGGGTAGCATTATGGTACTGGTCTTCTACTTGGAGGGTAGCATTATGGTACTGGCTGCTACTTGGAGGGTAGCATTATGGTACTGGTCTGCTACTTGGAGGGTAGCATTATGGTACTGGTCTGCTACTTGGAGGGTAGCATTATGGTACTGGTCTGCTGCTTGGAGGGTAGCATTATGGTACTGGTCTGCTACTTGGAGGGTAGTATTATGGTACTGGTCTGCTACTTGGAGGGTAGCATTATGGTACTGGCCTGCTACTTGGAGGGTAGCATTATGGTACTGGTCTGCTACTTGGAGGGTAGCATTATGGTACTGGTCTGCTACTTGGAGGGTAGCATTATGGTACTGGTCTGCTACTTGGAGGGTAGCATTATGGTACTGGTCTGCTACTTGGAGGGTAGCATTATGGTACTGGTCTGCTGCTTGGAGGGTAGCATTATGGTACTGGTCTGCTACTCGGAGGGTAGCATTATGGTACTGGTCTGCTACTTGGAGGGTAGAATTATAGCATAACTGACATGTGTTTACACTGGCAGACCAATTATGATTTTATTTTTTTCACTCATTGGTCTTTTGACCAATTAGATCAGCTCTGAAAAAGATCTGTGATCTGGTCAAAAGACCAATCAGTTGAAAAAAGATCAGAACTGTGTAAACACAGGCATGGTCACACGCTTGTAACTGCAACAAAATGTTGCTTAGGGCCCCCAACAGGCTAGGGCCGGCTCCGACAGCATGTCTGGGTGTGGGTGCGCAGACCCGCGAGCCACTGAGGCCACTCGTGATGAGTTCAGATTTGTTGTGGCCCCCGTCAAAGTTGCCCGTCCCTGCACCAGAGGGATCATGAATGACAACATTAATTCAGGCAGAAATTGACCTCTTTATTTGGGCATTTTTCCCATAGATGGATTATTCACCGTACCTCATCACAGCTTAACGCAACAACTCCCAAGAGCATGAAATACTGAGCTTTATATATCTATACACACAAACCTATAGCTTCGTACACCTATACATATGAACCTATAGCTTCATCCACCTACACATATGAACCTATACAGTCAGTGTATAAGCTATCCTCCTACACATTTCTCTGCCGTGCACATGAAGCTCACATCGACAGCAGCCACCTCAGACTCCATACTGTTGGCTTCCATTTCTCAGTTCCTTCAGGAATGACTGCCTCTCAGTGGGGACAGCAGACTGATGGTCATTTTGTTGGCACAGATGAGAGGAAGAGAGCGTCCTCAAAGAGAAGGTAACCTTTTTTTTCTCCCCTCAAAAGTAGTGCACTATATAAACTCAGCAAAAAAAAGAAATGTCCCCTTTTTCAGGACCCTGTCTTTCAAAGATAATTTGTAAAAATCCAAATAACTTCACGGATCTTCATTGTAAAGGGTTTAAAACACTGTTTCCCCATGCTTGTTCAATGAACCATAAACAATTAATGAACATGCACCTGTGGAACGGTCGTTAAGACACTAACAGCTTACAGACGGTAGGCAATTAAGGTCACAGTTATGAAAACTTAGGACACTAAAGAGGCCTTTCTACTGACTCTGAAAAACACCAAAAGAAAGATGCCCAGGGTCCCTGCTAATCTGCGTGAATGTGCCTTAAGCATGATGCAAGGAGGGATGAGGACTGCAGATGCGGCCAGGGCAATAAATTGCAATGTCCGTACTGTGAGACGCCTAAGACAGCGCTACAGTGAGACAGGAAGGACAGCTGATCGTCCTCTCAGTGGCAGACCACGTGCAACAACACCTGCACAGGATCGGTACATCCGAACATCACACCTGCAGGACAGGTACAGGATGGCAACAACAACTGCCCGAGTTACACCAGGAACTGTGCTCTTCACTGACGAGTCGCGGATTTGTCTCACCAGGGGTGATGGTCAGATTCGCGTTTGTCGTCGAAGGAATGAGCGTTACACCGAGGCCTGCACTCTGGAGCGGGATCGATTTGGAGGTGGAGGGTCCGTCATGGTCTGGGGCGGTGTGTCACAGCATCATCGGACTGAGCTTGTTGTCATTGCAGGCAATCTCAACGCTGTGCGTTACAGGGAAGACATCCTCCTCCCTCATGTGGTACCCTTCCTGCAGGCTCATCCTGACATGACCCTCCAGCATGACAATGCCACCAGCCATACTGCTCGTTCTGTGTGTGATTTCCTGCAAGACAGGAATGCCAGTGTTCTGCCATGGCCAGCGAAGAGCCCGGATCTCAATCCCATTGAGCACGTCTGGGACCTGTTGGATCGGAGGGTGAGGGCTAGGGCCATTCCCCCCAGAAATGTCCGGGAACTTGCAGGTGCCTTGGTGGAAGAGTGGGGTAACATCTCACAGCAAGAACTGGCAGATCTGGTGCAGTCAATGAGGAGATGCACTGCAGTACTTAATGCAGCTGGTGGCCACACCAGATACTGACTGTCCCTTTGTTCAGGGACACATTATTCAATTTCTGTTAGTCACATGTCTGTGGAACTTGTTCAGTTTATGTCTCAGTTGTTGAATCTTGTTATGTTCACACAACTATTTACACGTGTTAAGTTTGCTGAAAAATAAACGCAGTTGACAGTGAGAGGACGTTTCTTTTTTTTGTTTGCTGCGTTTGGGCATTAGGGTGTTATTTGTGACTCGTGCTGACTGGAAGAGGAACACAGCATCATCAGCTTCTGATACACTGGTCAATCCAAAGGGGGATTTTGAACCATTGGATTTTTTGCAGTTTTAACTTCTCGTATGAGTTTATGCACACTCTCTATACCTCGGCTGAGGGGAGAGATTCTATACCAAGGAATACATGATCCTGGATCTGAGGCCATGAGAAAATCAGTTCACGCTTTTATTCACAAATGTACTGAACTTCTGTCCATTTACAGAGAGGCCTGTTCCTAATGCTGGGCATTCACCAAAAGGTAAGTGCTGCCTTGTAGAAGACATGTTCATTCGGTGTGGCTGACACACCCTTATTGGTTGTTTTTAAAACATGCTAATGGGAGTCAAAAGGTCAAAATACCTCGGCACAACACCCGCTAGTCAATGCAGAGACATGTAAAAATGAAAACAGGGCGAAGATATTCAACATATTTATCCACTTACTCAACAGAACACCCTGTCCCAACCATGTCTCACACACACACACACCTCTATAATAGAATATCTCTTAACAGTTTTAAACATCACCTCTTCTTCGGATTGTGTGAATCCCACCAGCCAAGCTTTGTTCTAACCAACAGCCGACAAGGACACAAAGAAAAACACCAATAATAACAGAGAGATGGACATTCAATTCGTACAAAAACAAAACCACCCCATTCATTTCAACTAAATCGGGCCTGGTAAGAAACATGGTAACAAAAACTCCAAAAAGAAAATGATGGTCCGGGAACCGTAAACTCAATATGCTATCATTTTATTGATTTACCCCCTGTAGATCCCATGTTAGTCAAGTGTCCTGTACGTTAGGAGCAGTGTATGAATATCTCCCATCGTTCGTAAGAGTTAAGCTGTAGGGTAGTCAGTCCGTTTCCATTTCAGTCAGTTCATGTCATCATGCCAGCAACAACAGCCACTCTGCAGCTGCATCTGAAATCTGCATGGAGGTACCTGTGGAATTCAGGAATTATTATCAAACCCCAACCAAAAAAAAAAAAAGAACGAAGGAACAAATCAAAAACTGATTTATTTTGTTTTTTTTTTATAGAAAAAATTAAATGAGAAATGTGGTGATGAGCTTAAAAGCTTTAAAGAGAACATTTCTTTGACTATCTTATTTTACATTTTCCTTTTTTTAAAATGTTTTAAATTATTAGTATTTTCTCCTATAACTGTTGCTGATTCAGTGCAATGCATCATGGAACGATTGATAAAAGGGTCCCCCGGGTATTTTGTTGTTGTTGCGGCATCATGTTTTGGGAATGAACGGGAAGAAGAGGGGCATTGTGGGAGTCGTAGTTTAGCTGGTGTCCATGGACTCCATGTTAGCGGAGGACGAGTCCCTCTGGATGCTTTCAAAGATGGCGGCCAGCTCGGGGTTGGAGGAGATCTGGGACTGGAACTCACTCATCAGGGGACTCTTCTCTGCCTCGGGGATGGTGAGGAGGGCGACAACCGCCCGCATGGCTGAACGCTTCAACTCATCCTGCTTCTCAAACTCCTGCTTCACTGAGTTGGCCTTCACCTGGTGGGGGGAGAGAGAGGGGTTGACATAGATGGACCAACTGTAGCTGGTTGTTGGAGAGAGATGGGACTCTTATCACGTCACTCAGTGAAAACACAAAGGAGGTCATTGACAGTCAGAGGTCAAATGTCAAATAAACTTGAGACAAAATTTAAAAGAAAGTCAGCATACCACTACTTTTTTTGATCATTAAATATAGCCGTTCTGCATGGGATGTCTGCAACCAGTATATTGACCTATTGGATCTGTGAATGGTACCATGTCAGGGACAGTGTTGTGTCTGGGTCTCTGTGAATGGTACCATGTCAGGGACAGTGTGTCTGGGTCTCTGTGAATGGTCCCATGTCAGGGACAGTGTGTCTGGGTTTCTGTGAATGGTACCATGTCAGGGACAGTGTGTCTGGGACTCTGTGAATGGTACCATGTCAGGGACAGTGTTGTGTCTGGGTCTCTGTGAATGGTACCATGTCAGGGACAGTGTGTCTGGGTCTCTGTGAATGGTACCATGTCAGGGACAGTGTTGTGTCTGGGTCTATGTGAATGGTACCATGTCAGGGACAGTGTGTCTGGGTCTCTGTGAATGGTACCATGTCAGGGACAGTGTGTCTGGGTCTCTGTGAATGGTCCCATGTCAGGGACAGTGTGTCTGGGTCTCTGTGAATGGTACCATGTCAGGGACAGTGTTGTGTCTGGGTCTCTGTGAATGGTACCATGTCAGGGACAGTGTGTCTGGGTCTCTGTGAATGGTACCATGTCAGGGACAGTGTGTCTGGGTCTCTGTGAATGGTACCATGTCAGGGACAGTGTTGGTGTCTGGGTCTATGTGAATGGTACCATGTCAGGGACAGTGTGTCTGGGTCTCTGTGAATGGTACCATGTCAGGGACAGTGTGTCTGGGTCTCTGTGAATGGTACCATGTCAGGGACAGTGTTGTGTCTGGGTCTCTGTGAATGGTACCATGTCAGGGACAGTGTTGTGTCTGGGTCTCTGTGAATGGTACCATGTCAGGGACAGTGTGTCTGGGTCTCTGTGAATGGTCCCATGTCAGGGACAGTGTGGTCTGGGTCTCTGTGAATGGTACCATGTCAGGGACAGTGTTGGTCTGGGTCTCTGTGAATGGTACCATGTCAGGGACAGTGTTGTGTTGGGTCTCTGCTGACTTGTCCCATGTCCAGGGACAGTGTTGTGTCTGGGTCTCTGTGAATGGTACCATGCCCAGGGGACAGTTGTTTTTCTGGGTCTCTGTGAATGGTACCATGGTCAGGGACAGTGTGTCTGGGTCTCTTGTGGAATGGTACCATGTCCAAGGGGACAGTGTCTGTCGGGTCTCTGTGAATGGTACCATGTCAGGGGCCAGTGTTTCTGGGTCTCTGTGAATGGGTACCATGTCAGGGACAGTGTGTCTGGGTCTTCTGTGAATGGTACCATGTCAGGGACAGTGTGTCTGGGTCTCTGTGAATGGTACCATGTCAGGGACAGTGTGTCTGGGTCTCTGTGAATGGTACCATGTCAGGGACAGTGTGTCTGGGTCTCTGTGAATGGTACCATGTCAGGGACAGTGTGTCTGGGTCTCTGTGAATGGTACCATGTCAGGGACAGTGTGTCTGGGTCTCTGTGAATGGTACCATGTCAGGGACAGTGTGTCTGGGTCTCTGTGAATGGTACCATGTCAGGGACAGTGTCTGGGTCTCTGTGAATGGTACCATGTCAGGGACAGTGTGTCTGGGTCTCTGTGAATGGTACCATGACAGGGACAGTGTTGTGTCTGGGTCTCTGTGAATGGTACCATGTCAGGGACAGTGTGTCTGGGTCTCTGTGAATGGTCCCATGTCAGGGACAGTGTGTCTGGGTCTCTGTGAATGGTCCCATGTCAGGGACAGTGTGTCTGGGTCTCTGTGAATGGTCCCATGTCAGGGACAGTGTCTCTGGTCAGTCTCACCTTGGTGGTGCAGGTGGCCCGTAGCGGCTCCACCAGCCTGTCCAGCCTCTGTAGCACAGCACTGGGACACAGAGTGGACAGTCTAGCCAGCATCAGGAACGTCAGCATCTGAGCAGATAAACAACAACATCACCATCATACAACATCTCCAATCTCCTCCAGCCCCAGCTACATAAACCAACACACGCCTCATCAATACAGGCCCTATGATGCATTATGCAGTCTGGCCTTTAATCTTACAGACTACCTCTCTCTCTCTCCTGTTCTCTGATTTTCATACAGACTACCTCTCTCTCTCCTGTTCTCTGATTTTCATACAGACTACCGCTCTCTCCTGTTCTCTCTCTCTCCAGGCAGGCTACTGTTCAAATTCATGAGTAGGACACCAATGGTCATATAATGGTTCTGTCAGGAAGCTGTATAGGATACCTTGATGTCGTAATGGTCTTTGAGTCCGTCTTCTACGTGGTTGAGGAACTCAAAGATGTCTAGTCTGTCTAGACAGCTGTCCAGGAGGGTGTACATGCACTCAAACGCTGCCTTCCTAATGTCCAGACCATCATCCACTGTGTGTTTAAAGGGACCCATCTCAACCTGGGGGGAGAAGACAGAACATTGAGGTCATTTAGAACACCCTCTTATCCAAAGTAACTCAACGAAGGTAGGTCATTTAGAACACCCTCTTATCCAAAGTAACTCAACGAAGGTAGGTCATTTAGAACGCCCTCTTATCCAAAGTAACTCAACGAAGGTAGGTCATTTAGAACACCCTCTTATCCAAAGTAACTCAACGAAGGTAGGTCATTTAGAACACCCTCTTATCCAAAGTAACTCAACGAAGGTAGGTCATTTAGGAGACCCTCTTATCCAAAGTAACTCAACGAAGGTAGGTCATTTAGGAGACCCTCTTATCCAAAGTAACTCAACGAAGGTAGGTCATTTAGAAGACCCTCTTATCCAAAGTAACTCAACGAAGGTAGGTCATTTAGGAGACCCTCTTATCCAAAGTAACTCAACGAAGGTAGGTCATTTAGAAGACCCTCTTATCCAAAGTAACTCAACGAAGGTAGGTCATTTAGAACACCCTCTTATCCAAAGTAACTCAACGAAGGTAGGTATAACAACTACATAGCACAAGAATTGCAAGTAAATCCCTTCGTCAATCAAACTTAAAACCTTCAAAAACCAAGAAAGGAAGATGTGAGTGAATGAAAAATGAAAGAAGGATAAGAGACAGAGGGTAGGAAACAGGAAACAGGAAGTCAAGCACCAAATGGAACCCCATGTCAACCTAGGGGTAACAGAAAACAAGGGAAGAGTGAAGGAAGAATGACAGAGATGAACAGAAGCTTGGTTCATCCTGTACCTCTCTGATGAGTTCCTTGCGGACTTTGGTCTCGTTGTAGAGGTGTGGCAGGACCGTATCCAGTAAGTCTCTGATGAGAGAGGGCTTATTATGGGCTGCCGAGTTAAAGGTTACCAGGGCAACCCGCCGCACGTTCAGGTCTGGGTCCTCCAACGTCTTCAAGAAGTCACCTGGAATACAGCCCACAGCACAGACATTATGATCCCTTCAGAAATACATGGATTTTAGCATCAACATGACAAGTCAAATGAAGAGCTTCCTCTAGTCTAACATATGTATATCTAGTTTTAGCTTGGGAAAGTATTCAGACCCCTTGACATTGTCCACATTTTGTTACGTTACAGCCTTATTCTAAAATTGATTAAATAATCCTCAGCAATCTACACACAATACCCCATAATGACAAAGAGAAAAAAGGTTTAGATATTTTTGCAAAATGTATTTAAAAAACAAAAACAGATATACCTTATTTACATAAGTATTCAGACCCTTTGCAATGAGACTCGAAATTGAGCTCAGTTGCATCCTGTTTCCATTGATCATCCTTGACATGTTTCTACAACTTGATTGGAGTCCATCTGTGGTAAATTCAATTGATTGGACATGATTGGGAAAGGCACACACCTGTCCATATAAGGTCCCACAGTTGACAGTGCATGTCAGAGCAAAAATCAAGCTATGAGGTTGTAGGAATTGTCCGTAGAGCTCCGAGCCAGGATTGTGTCGAGGCACAGATCTGGGGAAGGGTACCAAAACATTTCTGCAGCATTGAAGGGCCACAAGAACACAGTGGCCTCCATCATTCTTAAATGGAAGAAGTTTGGAACCACCAACTCTTCCTAGAGCTGGCCGCCTGGCCAAACTGAACAATCGGGGGAGAAGGGCCTTGGTCAGGGAGGTGACCAAGAACCTGATGGTCACTCTGACAGAGCGCTAGAGTTCCTCTGTGGAGATGGGAGAACCTTCCAGAAGGACAACCATCTCTGCAGCACTCCACCAATCAGGCCTTTATGGTATAGTGGCCAGACAGAAGCCACTCCTCAGTAAAAGGCACATGAAAGCCTGCTTGGAGTTTGCCAAAAGGCACCTAAAGACTCTCAAACCATGAGAAACAAGATTCTCTGGTCTGATGAAACCAAGATTGAACTCTTTGGCCTGAATGCCAAGCGTCACGTCTGGAGGAAACCTGGCACCATCCCTACGGTTAAGCTTGGTGGTGGCAGCATCATGCTGGGGGGATGTTTTTCAGCGGCAGGGACTGGGAGACTAGTCAGGATCGAGGGAAAGATGAGCGGAGCAAAGTACAGAGATCCTTGATGAAAACCTGCTCCAGAGCGATCAGGTCCTCAGACTGGGGCGAAGGTTCACCTTCCAACAGGACAACGACCCTAAGCACACAGCCAAGACAACGCAGGAGTGGCTTCTGGACAAGTCTCTGAATGTCCTTGAGTGGCCCAGCCAGAGCCCAGACTTTAACCCGATCGAACATCTCTGGAGAGACCTGACAATAGCTGTGCAGCAACGCTCCCCATCCAACGTAACAAAATGTGGAAAAGGTCAAGGGGTCTGAATACTTTCCGAAGGCACTGTACATCTAGTCTATATTTCCTCAATCTGTCTCAGTAAAAACACATCACAGTCTCCAGTAGCTATGCTGCGATAGTCTATGTGCCGGGGGGCTAGGGTCAGTCTGTTATATCTGGTGTTATTCTCCTGTCTTATCTGATGTCCTGTGTGAATTTAAGTATGCTCCCTCTAATTATCTCTCGCTCCCTCCCCTCCTGAAGGACCTGAGCCCTAGGACCATGCCTCAGGACTACCTGGCCTGGGCCCATTTCCACAAAACATCTCAGAGTACGACTTGCTGTCCCCAGTCCACCTGGTCGTGCTGCTGCTCCAGTTTCCACTCTTCTGCCTGCGGCTATGGACACCTGACCTGTTCACCGGACGTGCTACCTTGTCCCAGACCTGTTGTTTTCGACTCTCTCTCTCTAACGCACCTGCTGTCTCGACCTCTAAATGCTCTGCTATTAAAAGCCAACTGACATTTACTCCTGAGGTGCTGACCTGTTGCACCCTCTACAACCACTGTGATTATTATTTGACCCTGCTGGTCATCTATGAATGTTTGAACATCTTGAAGAACAATCTGGCCTTAAATGGCCATGTACTGTTATAATCTCCACCCGGCACAGCCAGAAGGGGACTGGCCACCCCTCAGAGCCTGGTTCCTCTCTAGGTTTCTGCCTTTCTAGGGAGTTTTTCCTAGCCACCGTGCTTCTACATCTGCATTGCTTGCTGTTTGGGGTTTTAGGCTGGGTTTCTGTATATGCATGTTGTGCCATCTGCTGATGTAAAAAGGCCTTTATAAATACATTTGATTGATTGATTTGATTGAGATACCATACCAGTCTGTTTGTCTCAGTAAAGACATTCAGATATAGATACCATACCAGTCTGTCTGTCTCAGTAAAAAACATTCAGATATAGATAACTATAGGTCCCATATCAGTAGTCACAGAGAGGATAGGTTAGCAGTAGATAGCTATGCATAGATTAGATGGTGAAGATAAGACACCTATGCAGTTTTTCAGGAGAGGGTCTATTGTCTGTGGGTGGTCGGAGATGGTGAACTTCACTGCTGTCACCACTGAGCTTCTGGCGTAAGATGATCCTGGAGAAGGAAACATGAATATTCACATGACGTACTTGCAATAGCACCGTAAAATTAATACCCAGGTCATATTTCTTAACATGAATGACTCATATCACGCGCAATGAACAAACTGTATTTTTGAATCAAGTCTTGCCAATCAAAAACAGCATAGTGAAACATCGGGTTACCGTTACCCACCTGAGAGCAGGTATCCTTTGAGCCTGGGCAGCAAGGTTTCAGGGTCTATGAGGGTGAGTTTCCCCAGACACTCCGCTACCACGTTCCTGGTGCCCTCCTCTGCACACTCACAGTGCTTCAACAGCAGGGTCCAGACACTCTCTACGTACGGCTTCAGACCCGCCACAGACGCTGAGCTGGAGCGAACAGAACAGATACTATTTGGTTAGAATGTCTTCTGCCTTTCCACCCCCACACCATTTCTGTTCACACATCGTTGTTATGGTCTGTAATGATGTGGTGTGTTCTGTTTACACGTCGTTGTTATGGTCTGTAATGATGTGGTGTGTTCTGTTCACACGTCGTTGTTATGGTCTGTAATGATGTGGTGTGTTCTGTTTACATGTCGTTGTTATGGTCTGTAATGATGTGGTGTGTTCTGTTCACACATCGTTGTTATGGTCTGTAATGATGTGGTGTGTTCTGTTCACACGTCGTTGTTATGGTCTGTAATGATGTGGTGTGTTCTGTTTACATGTCGTTGTTATGGTCTGTAATGATGTGGTGTGTTCTGTTTACACATCGTTGTTATGGTCTGTAATGTTGTGGTGTGTTCTGTTTACACGTCGTTGTTATGGTCTGTAATGATGTGGTGTGTTCTGTTTACACGTCGTTGTTATGGTCTGTAATGATGTGGTGTGTTCTGTTCACACGTCGTTGTTATGGTCTGTAATGTTGTGGTGTGTTCTGTTTACATGTCGTTGTTATGGTCTGTAATGTTGTGGTGTGTTCTGTTTACATGTCGTTGTTATGGTCTGTAATGATGTGGTGTGTTCTGTTTACATGTCGTTGTTATGGTCTGTAATGTTGTGGTGTGTTCTGTTTACACGTCGTTGTTATGGTCTGTAATGATGTGGTGTGTTCTGTTTACATGTCGTTGTTATGGTCTGTAATGTTGTGGTGTGTTCTGTTCACACATCGTTGTTATGGTCTGTAATGTTGTGGTGTGTTCTGTTTACATGTCGTTGTTATGGTCTGTAATGTTGTGGTGTGTTCTGTTTACACGTCGTTGTTATGGTCTGTAATGATGTGGTGTGTTCTGTTTACACATCGTTGTTATGGTCTGTAATGTTGTGGTGTGTTCTGTTCACACATCGTTGTTATGGTCTGTAATGTTGTGGTGTGTTCTGTTTACATGTCGTTGTTATGGTCTGTAATGTTGTGGTGTGTTCTGTTTACACGTCGTTGTTATGGTCTGTAATGATGTGGTGTGTTCTGTTTACACATCGTTGTTATGGTCTGTAATGTTGTGGTGTGTTCTGTTTACACATCGTTGTTATGGTCTGTAATGTGGTTGCCATGTGTTTGATCTGATGGTGTTTTCTTGACTTCTAATGTGCTGCTTTTGATTGGATTCATTTAGCCCTGCACTTGTGCCTCGCCACATGCCAGGCTGTCATTATGAATAACAATTCGTTCATAACCAACCTGTCTGGTAAAATATGGGTTAAAACAGCAACCCTCCATTAACCAGTTCAGCCGGCCGACCTGGGACTTGAACCAGCGACCTTTCAGCTCCACCTCCCTAACCGCTGGAATATCCTACCTGATGATCTCTTTGAGTGAGTGCAGCAGCAGGTACTGCCTCTTGGGCTGCCCCGAGATCTCCCCCAGGACGAAGGGCAGGTATTCAGGCAGGTTGCCCACGGCGATGGATCCTAGGGCGTACGATGCGGCAGACTTGACCTCTTCAGAAGCGGATGAGAAGGCATCCAGGATGACCGTCTTGAGCTCTGGTTGGCCGCTCAGGTCTACGTGGTGTCCCACCTACCACAGAGACAGATATTATTAATGATTCACTTCACTCTACTAATACTAGTCACTACAGCTACTGATACTAGCCTACTACAATTAAAAACCACCATTAGTCCTACTACCAGCAGCAGTAAATCCACTATTAGTCCTACTACCAGCAGCAGTAAAACCACTATTAGTCCTACTACCAGCAGCAGTAAAACCTCTATTAGTCCTACTACCAGCAGCAGTAAAACCACTATTTCTCCCACAACCATAAAATCACTTAGACATGCACACACGTTCTTTTTTTGAATAGTTGTATTTAAAACTGTGGCCCACCTCTCCCAGTGACAGCAGTGCCAGCAGCCTGATGGAGTCTGTGGACCGAGAGTTCTTCACATCCTGGATGAACTGACCTACCACGGCAGGACCCTCCTACAAACACAATCAAACTTTATTTAAAGTGCATTAGAATATTGCAAAAGCCTTTAGGGCACCTCCTAGTGATCATACAACATTATAAAACACAGTGTTAAGATAATGAACAAACAAAGAAATAAACAGGGATATATTCAAACCGTACAAATCTGAGAATAATTTTGGATTGAAAATACACAAAACTCCTCCAGGAGGACATAACACAGGAATAATGTCTAAAAGTCCTCCAGGAGAACATAACACAGAAAGAATGTATAAAAGTCCTCCAGGAGAACATAACACAGGAAGGATGTCTAAAAGCCCTCCAGGAGAACATAACACAGGAAGGATGTCTAAAAGTCCTCCAGGAGAACATAACACAGGAAGGATGTCTAAAAGTCCTCCAGGAGAACATAACACAGGAAGAATGTCTAAAAGTCCTCCAGGAGAACATAACACAGGAAGGATGTCTAAAAGTCCTCCAGGAGAACATAACACAGGAAGGATGTCTAAAAGTCCTCCAGGAGAACATAACACAGGAAGGATGTCTAAAAGTCCTCCAGGAGAACATAACACAGGAAGGATGTCTAAAAGTCCTCCAGGAGAACATAACACAGGAAGGAATGTCTAAAAGTCCTCCAGGAGAACATAACACAGGAAGGATGTCTAAAAGTCCTCCAGGAGAACATAACACAGGAAGGATGTCTAAAAGTCTCCAGGAGAACATAACACGGAAGGATGTCTAAAAGTCCTCCAGGAGAACATAACACAGGAAGGATGTCTAAAAGTCTCCAGGAGAACATAACACAGGAAGGATGTCTAAAAGTCCTCCAGGAGAACATAACACAGGAAGGATGTCTAAAGTCCTCCAGGAGAACATAACACAGTGAAGGATGCCTAAAAGTCCTCCATGAGAAACATAAACACAGGAAGGATGTCTAAAAAGTCCTCCCAGGAGAACATAACACAGGAAGGATGTCTAAAAAGCCCCCTCCAGGAGACCATAACACAAGGGAAGGATGCCTATAAAAGTCCCCCAGGAGGAGGACATAACACAGAGGAGGAGTCTAAAGTCCGCCAGGAGACATTATAACACAGGAAGGATGTCTAAAAGTCCTCCAGGAAGAACTAACACAGGAAGGATGTCTAAAGTCCTCCAGGAGAACATAACCACAGGAAGGATGTCTAAAAAGTCCTCCAGGAGAACATAACACAGGAAGGATGTCTAAAAGTCCTCCAGGACACAAACACAGGAAGCAATGATCTAAGCCCTCCAGAGAACATACACAGAGGATTCCTATCAGTTCAACTGCAAGGTAACCATAACCACCGGAAAATCTCTAAAATGGTCCCGAGGGACATCCAGAGAAGGAGTCAGACCTCCAGGAGAACTGACCATGAAGGATGTCAACACGTCCTACCAGGAGAAAAGGTGACACGCCAGGAGTGTCAGAAAGTCTCGAGAACATCACTGGACACTATGTCTAAAGTCCTCCGAGAACTGACACGGAGGAGCTAAGCCACACCAGCGCGACATAACACGGGGATCGCTAAAGTCCTCAGGAGACATACACCAGGATGTCTAAAGTCCCCAGGGACTACACAGATTAGCGCTAAAAGTCCTCCAGGAACAACCAGGAATGGTCTAAAGCCTCAGGGACTAACACAGGAAGGAGTGTCTAAATCTCCAGGACTAACCGGAAGCTGTTAAGTTAGGGAATAACCGAAGTATGTAAAAGTTCCAGTAAACAAACACAAGATCTAAACCTCCAGGGGACATAACAAGGAAGATGTCTAAAGTCTCAAAACATAACAGGAAGATCTAAAATCCTCTCAGAGAACAAACCAGTATGGATTCTAAAGATTCCCGAATCACCTCCACTACGGAAGGTGAAAGTCCTCCGAGCTACCAGGAGATCCTAAGTTCTCCAGGAGACATACACAGGAAGATGTCAAAGTCCCAGGAGACTCCGGCAGGCTGTCTAGGTTCAGAGAGACCATACAGGAAATGGTCTCTTTCACTTCCTAGGCGATATCGAGCACCTGAGGATGTTATGTGCAGGTAAAAGGTAAGTAATCTCAGGAGAACATCGAAGTGTCCCCTACAGCCAGGAGACAGTGAACACAAGATCAATACAAGCTATACCAAGCTACGCGTACCACGAATAAGAGCCGATAACTAGGTAAACTGTTATGTGTCATAGCACTCTGGGCGTAGACTGGACCGGTCAGCATACGGAGCAGGTCCATGTAACCCAGAGAGGATGTCTCCGTACCCACCAGAGCCTGGGAGAGGAGACACAATAACACCGCTTTTAATATAACATAACCCTAACCCAGAGAGGATGTCCCCGTACCCACCAGAGCCTGGGAGAGGAGACACAATAATACCGCTTTTAATATAACATAACCCTAACCCAGAGAGGGTGTCTCCGTACCCACCAGAGCCCGAATATAGAAGAACAGAATATACTTTTCTGAGTGCTACAATCCTGCTTGATCAGGGTCAGTGTTTTTATAAATACACAAATTAACATTAAGCAGTGACACTTCTAGATTCGAAGTTGTTAGTTTGGGAAACTACAGAGCATCTTCTATAGGGACAAAGTAGGACCTAAATACCTGATCGTTTCTTTTTGCTGATTTTCCAAGCGGTTCACAAACTTTTTACAACACAGTACGTCAATTGAACTCACCCATCCGCTGTCCTAGGCGTTAATATAGCATTCCCTTATCAAACTGTAACTGGTAACCATTCGTACCTGGAAAAACTCTAACATGGCACCGAGGGCCCCTCCTTGCAGAAGAGGAGACCTGACCAGAGAGATGAGCTCTGAGAGGATGGTCGACCCCCCGATCTTAGCCAGGGAGAGAGGGTGGACACGGGCCAGGGTGGTCAGGAAGCTGATGGCCATCTGGGACACGTGCATGTCGCTCTCGCTGATCAGCGGAGGCAGCTCGGCCAGCACCGCGTCGATCATGGCCGGGGTCACGCTGTCGCTGTAGTTCTTCACCAGGATGTCGAGGCCGGCCAGGGTGCTCAGTTTCAGCGCCCGCTGGTTCTTACGCAGGAACGACGCCAGGATGGGCACCGCCTCGTCAAGGATAGGTCGAAGGTCAATCTTCAGCGTGGAGCCTGTGATTAGGGAAGAGAGCAAGTATGAAAAGTAAGTATATACACACACCTCTTATCGAGCAGGGAAACTGATTTATTAGTTAAAAAAAAACACACTTATCAAGCCATTAAATCAACTGTCATCAACAGACTCTGAAAAACCTACGTATGGATTCTGAAAGACTTCCCGATATCATCCCCTCCCTACCTGCGATGAGCGTGAGGGCCTTGACCGTAGTCAGCCTGGTAATCTCATTCTTCAGGCGCTCTAGGAAGATGTGCAGCGTCCCAGGGAGGTCGGCCCCCAGGCTGTCTCCTAGGTTACAGATGATCTGACCCATACAGGAAATAGCCCTCTCTTTCACTTCCTGGTCGATGTCGGCAGCCTTGAGGCGTTTGATGGTGCAGGTGAAGAGGTCAGTGATGTAGGGAGAAGCATCGAAGGTGTCCCTCTCCGGCTGGTCCAGAGGTCTGTGAACATTCAGAGTCACATTGAGAAAGCTTCATTTTCCCCCATACTGGGCCATGTGCTTCATTTCCCCCATACTGGGCCATGTGCTTCATTTCCCCCATACTGGGCCATGTGCTTCATTTCCCCCATACTGGGCCATGTGCTTCATTTCCCCCATACTGGGCCATGTGCTTCATTTCCCCCATACTGGGCCATGTGCTTCATTTCCCCCATACTGGGCCATGTGCTTGCATCAGATAAATTTTTTAAAAAAAATACTGTACAGACAGAATGAAAAACAGCAACACACGACTCGAGTTACCTCTGGTAAAACATGTAGTTATCCTATTAAAAACAAGAGAACACATCAATACGCATGTATTAGAATAGACTAGATAACCTTACCTGATCACCTTGACCAACTGTTGGGTGACCAGCAGGGCCTCAGAGGTGATTTTATAGAAGGGGTCTCCCACACATGCCACCACGGGCGGCACCAGGGCCTTTGGAGGTTACAGGTTAGAAACGTTTATTAAAAAGTTTATTCAAGTGTCACTTCACAAAATGACAAGACGTCTTTCAAATAAAAAAATACTTTTTTTTTGTGGATGGACCACTCAGTGAGAGTTCTGAGACTATTTCAAAAGTCCTAATATCCGACCTGAACATGGGGGTGGAAGACTTGCGGCTGGTGGTTACACAGGACCACATACAGACAGGACAGGGCATCGATCTTCAGGTTGGACGAACTGGACTTGTCGTTGAGAGAGAAGATGATTCCTGTTGGGAGGGAGAGTAGGTTAGTTTAGTCGATATGCACATTGAGAGAGGGTTTCCCGGACACAGATTAAGCCTAGTCCTAGACTAGAAACTCCATTGAAAGTGCTGTTTAGTCTAGGACTAGGTGTGATGCGTGTCTGGGGAAACCGGCCCACAATGCATTAGAATATTAAAGGAAAGAAGGGAAACAGATTAGGAAAGTGGTGCAGGTGAGGTCAGACAGCTGACCCATGTTTCAGGGAACACAAAATACAATGAGGAAAACAGAGAGCTTCCTTACTAAACAGGAAGGTTTACAGTAAGACTCAATACAACAACAGGAAGGTTTACAGTAAGACTCAATACAACAACAGGAAGATTTTACAGTAAGACTCAATAAAACAACAGGAAGGTTTTACAGTAAGACTCAATACAACAACAGGAAGGTTTTACAGTAAGAATCAATACAACAACAGGAAGGTTTTACAGTAAGAATCAATACAACAACAGGAAGGTTTTACAGTAAGAATCAATACAAAAACAGGAAGGTTTTACAGTAAGAATCAATACAAAAACAGGAAGGTTTTACAGTAAGAATAAATACAACAGGAAGGTTTACAGTAAGACTCAATACAACAACAGGAAGGTATGAAGGTTTACAGTAAGACTCAATACAACAACAGGAAGGTTTTCCAGTAAGAATCAATCCAACAACAGGAAGGTTTTACAGTAAGAATCAATACAACAACAGGAAGGTTTTACAGTAAGAATCAATACAACAACAGGAAGGTTTTACAGTAAGAATCAATACAACAACAGGCAGATAATAGTGATGATCAGCCCCTTTCAGATCCTCCACTCCCCTGGTGCATGCAGGGAAGGAGAAGCTAGCTTCATATTACATTGATCCTATATAATCCCATTGCGGTGGGTTACTGAAGCAGAGCAGTGGCACTGTAGAATAGAGTTTGGAGGAGCATGTTGGGGAAACTACGATGACTGGTTTATCTCCCAAGGTCATTTAGAAAATGACAGAACCAAAATATAAAATCTACTCTTGTTGCCTTCGGTGTGTTGCATTTAACTGCGAACAAGTCGTAATAAATCACTTGTAGTGTTCTAAAGGGAAAGAAGACCCTATGGCTGCAAACAGCCATAAACAACATGCAAAGCTATCAATCCATCGATTCCTCTAAGGTGACACGCTGACTAGGTAAAATAATACAAATGTTCTACTTCAACATATTTCCTGTCAACTCAACTACTCTCATTCCACTAAGACATGAAAAGGCATTTAATGTCATCATTTCATAAGAACCGAAAATCAGCCTGAGTCTGTCGGTCAGCCAGCCTCCGTCAGACGGAGTGACCTCCAGACCAGAGGGATGAGGCTGAAGAATGTGCCAAGGGCGGGAGCCTCGTTCCTGGGAGCAGCACTGAGATGTTGGGGGTGAGAGACCAGGATAGGCCCCCGGGTAAAAGTCTGGCAAGAGTGAGATCAGAATCTCGGGGTGCCAACTACTACCATTGTGCCCTTGAGCAAAGGCTGCTCCAGGGGAAAGTGTAGCTCTGCAGCTGATCCAATGCTGCTTTCAGCCTCTCCTTCGTGTGTGTGTGTGTGTGTGTGTGTGTGTGTGTGTGTGTGTGTGTGGTGTCCGGGGGACACATTTCAGGTTCACATGCGGTACACCCATCTAGTACCGGGGGTCAGACCCCTCCCCTTTGCCCCCAGAACAGCCGGAATTCTTCGGGGCACTGAAACGTTGCTCAAATTGGTATCAAGGGACCGAACGTGTGACAGGAAAACATTCCCCACACCAGTACACCACTGCCACCAGCCTGTAGCGTTGACACCAGGCAGGATGGGACCATGGACTCACGCCAAATCCTGACTCGGCCATCAGCATGACGCAAGAGGAATCGGGATTCGTCGATCCAGGCAATGTTTTTCTACTACTCAATTGTCCAGTGTTGGTGATGGCGTGCCCACTGGAGCCGCTTCTTCTTGTTTTTAGCTGACAGGAGTGGAACCCGGTGTGGTCGTCTTCTGCAATAGCCCATCCGTGACAAGGATCGACGAGTTGTGCGTTCCGAGATGCAGTTCTGCACACCACTGTTGTACTGCACCGTTGTTTTCCTGTTTGTGGCCCGCCTGTTAGCTTGCACCATTCTCGCCATTCTCCTTCGACCTCTCATCAACGAGCTGTTTTCACCCACAGGACTGTCGCTGACTGGATGTTTTTTGTTTGTCGCACCATTCTCGGTAAACCCTAGACACTGTTGTTTGTAAAAAGCCCAGGAGGCCGGAGGTTTCTGAGAGACTGGAACCGGTGCGTCCGACACAGAGGATCATACCACGCTCAGTCTCTCAGGTCACTCGTTTTGCCCATTTTAACGTTCAATCAAACAGTAACTGGATGCCTCGATGCCTGTCTGCCTGCTTTATATAGCAAGCCACGGCCACGTGACCCACTGTCTGTAGAAGCGAACCATTTTTCTGAACAGGGTTGTGTACCTAATAAACTGCCCACTCAGTGCAAGTTATGTTGTGTGAGGGCTCCAGGGTTAGGGTAGGGTAGTAACCTACCTGGTACGAGGACAGGGATGTGTTGTGTGAGGGCTCCAGGGTTAGGGTAGGGTAGTAACCTACCTGGTACGAGGACAGGGATGTGTTGTGTGAGGGCTCCAGGTTAGGGTAGTCAGTAGTGTGTTGGTGAGGGCTCCAGGGTTAGGGTAGGTAGGTAGTAACCTACCTGGTACGAGGACAGGGATGTGTGTGTGAGGGCTCCAGGTTAGGTAGGAGTAACCACCTGGTACCAGACAGGATGGAGGCTCAGGTTAGATAAAACTACTGTACGAGGCAGGTTGTTGAGGTCAGGTTAGGTTACCTAACCGTCTGGACAGGATTTTGTGACTCAGGTTATAAGGTGTTAACCACCGGTACGCGCACGGATGTTTGTGTGAGGGCTCCATTTCGGGTAGTAACCACTGTACGAGACGGTTGTTTGTGAGGGCCCAGGTTAGGGTAGGTTACCTCCGGGACGAGACAGGATGGTGTTGTGAGGCTACAGGGTTAGGTAGTATAACCTACCTGTACGATGACAGGGATGTGTTGTGTGGGCTCCAGTTGGTAACGTTAGTAATACCTGGATCGCGACAGGTGTGTTGTGTGAGGGCCAGGTCACGGGTAGTGAGTAACCTACCTGGTACAGGACAGGGATGTGTTGTGTGAGCCCAGGTGGTAGTATAACCTACCTGGTACGAGTACAGGGATGTGTTGTGTGAGGGCTCCAGGGTTAGGGTAGGGTAAGGTAGTAACCTACCTGGTACGAGGACAGGGATGTGTTGTGTGAGGGCTCCAGGGTTAGGGTAGTAACCTACCTGGTACGAGGACAGGATGTTGTTTGAGGGCTCCAGGGGTAAGGATAACCTGACCTGGTAGCGAGGCGGGATGTGTGTGTGAGGGCTTCAGGCTAGGGTACTGGGTAGAGGTCAGTAACCTACCTGGTACGAGACAGCGGATTGTTGGGTGAGGGCTCAGTTAGGTAGGTACAGTAGTAACCTACCTGGTACAGACAGGATGCTATCATCTGAGGCTCCAGGTAGGGTATAACCTACACGGTACGAAGACAGAGGATGAATTCGAGACTCCGGTATAGCTGCTACCATGGGTATCAACCTACCTGATACATCAGGAACAGCACTGTATTGTCTGGTACGGGCTCCAGGGTTAAGGTAGGTAAATAACTCTACCTGGAGAATTGAATACTGTTGCTGACTCCATGGGTTAGGTAAGTAGTAAAACTACTGTACTAGACACAGGAATATGTTTGTGTAAAGGGACTCCTAGGGTTCAGAATACTACGGTAATAAACTACCATGGTACGAGACATGGATTGTTGATGAGGGACTCCAGTAGCAGATACCAGACTACTAGCAGATTTGAAGCTAGACACCACTAGGAGATATCAGAACTTACTCGCTAATACAATCTGCTTAGCACTAGGGCTAATCAGTTCACTCGACTATACACTGAACACGATAGGAAATATCAGACATACTACGGACTAATACATACTAGAACTACCACTAGGAGAAATATCAGAAATACTACGGACTAATACATACTAGAACTACCACTAGGATAAATATCAGACATACTACGACTAATACACACTAGAACTACCACTAGGAGAAATATCAGAAATACTACGGACTAATACACACTAGAACTACCACTAGGATAAATATCAGAAATACTACTGACTAATACATACTAGAACTACCACTAGGATAAATATCAGAAATACTACTGACTAATACATACTAGAACTACCACTAGGATAAATATCAGAAATACTACCGACTAATACATACTAGAACTACCACTAGGATAAATATCAGAAATACTACCGACTAATACATACTAGAACTACCACTAGGAGAAATATAATACATACTGGACTAATACCACTGAACTACCACTAGGAGAAATATCAGAAATACTACGACTAATACATACTAGAACTACCACTAGGATAAATATCAGAATACTACAATAATACGCACTGAATACCCTAGGAGAAATATCAGTAAATACTGAAACTACCAGACTAGGATACATAATACTAGAATACCACCTAAATATCGACATATAGTACAATACACAGGAATAGAAACTACCACTAGGATTAAATATTAGAAATACTACTGCCTAATACTACTAGAACTACCACTAGATAAATATATAAATACTAGATACATACTAGAACTACACTAGATAAATATCAGACTACTACTGGACTAATACACACTAGAACTACCACTAGGATAAATATCAGAAATACTACTGCCTAATACACACTAGAACTACCACTAGATAAACTATCAGAAATACTACTCTCTCGACCCTCTGTGTGTGTGAGCATTAACATAGGAGCATTACATTGGTGTGATGCATTAATACAGGTAACCAGGTAGTACTGTTTAGACCAGGCTAGTAGGAAACGTGCCAAACTAGCCCGAAAAACGTGTCTTCTGAAATATCGCACAGCACAGATTTTTGGATCCTTGGCTAAAAGAACATCACCCACCATTGGCTAGTAGAACGTATGGTCTACCAGCCAGATTGGGCAGTGCCTCTCTCTGTTTTACCTGGTTCTGCAGCATGGTGAGTGGAGTCTCTCTCTCTCTGTTTTACCTGGTTCTGCAGCATGGTGAGTGGAGTCCTCCCTCTCTGTGTTTTAAAACCTGGTTCTGCACATGGTGAGTGGAGTCTCTCTCTGTTTTTATACCTGGTTCTGCAGCATGGTGAGTGGAGTCTCTCTTTGTGTTTTAACCTGGTTCTGCACATGGTGAGTGGAGTCTCTCTCTGTGTTTTACCTGGGTTCTGCAGCATGGTGAGTGGATGTCTCTCTCTCTGTGTTTTAACCTGGTTCTGCCGCATGGTGAGTGGGAGTCTCTCTCTCTGGTGTTTTTACCCTGGTTCTGCAGCATGTGAGTGGAGTCTCTCTCTGTGTTTTACCTGGTTCTGCAGCATGGTGAGTGGAGTCTCTCTCTGTGTTTTCCTGGTTTCTGCAGCATGGTGAGTGGAGTCTCTCTCTCTGTGTTTTAACCTGGTTCTGCAGCATGGTGAGTGGAGTCTCTCGCTGTGTTTTACCTGGTTCTGCAGCATGGTGAGTTGGAGTCTCTCTCCTGTGTTTTTACCTGGTTCTGCAGCATGGTGAGTGGAGTCCTCTCTCTCTGTGTTTTACCTGGTTCTGCAGCATGGTGAGTGGAGTCTCCTCTGTGTTTTACCTGGTTCTGCAGCATGGTGAGTGAGTCTCTCTCTCTGTGTTTTAACCTGGTTCTGCAGCATGGTGAGTGGAGTCTCTCTCTGTGTTTTTACCTGGTTCTGCAGCATGGTGAGTGGGAGTCTCTCTCTCTGTGTTTTACCTGGTTCTGCAGCATGGTGAGTGGAGTCTCTCTCGGTGTTTTACCTGGTTTCTGCAGCATGGTGAGTGGAGTCTCTCTCTCTGTGTTTTTACCTGGTTCTGCAGCATGGTGAGTGGAGTCTCTCTCTCTGTGTTTTACCTGGTTCTGCATCATGGTGATGGAGTCTCTCTCTGTGTTTTACCTGGTTCTGCAGCATGGTGAGTGGAGTCTCTCTCTGTGTTTTAACCTGGTTCTGCAGCATGGTGAGTGGAGTCTCTCTCTGTGTTTTACCTGGTTCTGCAGCATGGGTGAGTGGAGTCCTCTCTCTCTGTTTTACCTGGTTCTGCAGCATGGTGAGGTGGAGTCTCTCTCTGTGTTTTACCTGGTTCTGCAGCATGGTTCTGCAGCATGGTGAGTGGAGTCTCTCTCTCTGTGTTTTACCTGGTTCTGCAGCATGGTGAGTGGAGTCTCTCTCTGTGTTTTACCTGGTTCTGCAGCATGGTGAGTGGAGTCTCTCTCTGTGTTTTACCTGGTTCTGCAGCATGGTGAGTGGAGTCTCTCTCTCTGTGTTTTACCTGGTTCTGCAGCATGGTGAGTGGAGTCTCTCTCTGTGTTTTACCTGGTTCTGCAGCATGGTGAGTGGAGTCTCTCTCTGTGTTTTACCTGGTTCTGCAGCATGGTGAGTGGAGTCTCTCTCTCTGTGTTTTACCTGGTTCTGCAGCATGGTGAGCGGGGTCTCTCCCTGTTCCATGGCATCGGGGTCACACAGCCAGCTCTGAGCAGGACGTGTCTGTTTCAGCAGCGACAGGTAGGCATGGAACACGTCAGCCTTCACGTTCTCCTCCCGCTCCTACAAATCCATCAGTCAATACATCAGTCAATACATCAGTCAATACATCAGCCAATACATCAGTCAATACATCAGCCAATACATTAGTCAATCAATCAATCAAAATGTTTTTATAAAGCCCTTTGTTACAACTGTTGATGTCAAAGTGCTTTTACTTTTTAGTAACCCGGCCTAGACTCAGAGAGCAACCACAAACACACGCCCAATGGCTAGGTAAAACTCCTTGGAAGATAGAAACCTAGAGGAACACGGGATAGTGTGTGTGTGTGTGTGTGTGTGTGTGTGTGTGTGTGTGTGTGTGTGTGTGCGTGCGTGTGTGCCTTGAAGCGAGCGATGAGCGCGGGCGACACGGTGCGGTAGAACTCTGGCAGCATCTCGTGGCGTGTGCTGACCACGGCGTCCAGGCACTTGGCGGCCGCACGGCGAACCTTCCAGCTCATGTCGTCGTCGTCGCTGTACTCATCATCACTTCCTGTAAAGGTCAGAGGTCAAAGGGTGGTGGGAGTGTGAGGTTAGAGACTTAACAGTCTAGTAGCAGTTATCATTATAGCATATTAAAAGGGTTAAATGCTTCTCTAGGCATCGTGACGACGTCAGATATGTACGTTAGCCACATTAACATCTCAAACAGGGTTACACAAGCAGCACAGAAATTAGCATGTGACATCTAGTAGTCTAGGGTCGACCACCTGACTACCACGAACAACACTGTAATCACATGGTTGTTGCAGGTCAAGAAACTATCGCTGCCTAACCTCAAATCCTTCCAATGAGATTTGACATATGAAGTTTGACAGAGATACACTCATCAATCATCAGAGAGAGACGGACTAGGTGGTTAGTCACAGCACTGTACTGCCCTGGTCCTGACAGACTAGGAGGTTAGTCACAGCACTGTACTGCCCTGGTCCTGACAGACTAGGAGGTTAGTCACAGCACTGTACTGCCCTGGTCCTGACAGACTAGGAGGTTAGTCACAGCACTGTACTGCCCTGGTCCTGACAGACTAGGTGGTTAGTCACAGCACTGTACTGCCCTGGTCCTGACAGACTAGGAGGCTAGTCACAGCACTGTACTGCCCTGGTCCTGACAGACTAGGTGGTTAGTCACAGCACTGTACTGCCCTGGTCCTGACAGACTAGGAGGCTAGTCACAGCACTGTACTGCCCTGGTCCTGACAGACTAGGAGGCTAGTCACAGCACTGTACTGCCCTGGTCCTGACAGACTAGGAGGCTAGTCACAGCACTGTACTGCCCTGGTCCTGACAGACTAGGAGGATAGTCACAGCACTGTACTGCCCTGATCCTGACAGACTAGGAGGCTAGTCACAGCACTGTACTGCCCTGGTCCTGACAGACTAGGAGGCTGGTCACAGCACTGTACTGCCCTGGTCCTGACAGACTAGGAGGCTAGTCACAGCACTGTACTGCCCTGGTCCTGACAGACTAGGAGGCTAGTCACAGCACTGTACTGCCCTGGTCCTGACAGACTAGGAGGCTAGTCACAGCACTGTACTGCCCTGGTCCTGACAGACTAGGAGGCTAGTCACAGCACTGTACTGCCCTGGTCCTGACAGACTAGGAGGCTAGTCACAGCACTGTACTGCCCTGGTCCTGACAGACTAGGAGGCTAGTCACAGCACTGTACTGCCCTGGTCCTGACAGACTAGGAGGATAGTCACAGCACTGTACTGCCCTGGTCCTGACAGACTAGGAGGCTAGTCACAGCACTGTACTGCCCTGGTCCTGACAGATAGGAGGCTATCCAGCACTGTACTGCCCTGGTCCTGACAGAATAGGAGGCTAGTCACAGCACTGTAACTGCCCTGGTCCTGACAGACTAGGAGGCTAGTCACAGCACTGTACTGCCCTGGTCCTGACAGACTAGGAGGCTAGTCACAGCACTGTACTGCCCTGGTCCTGACAGACTAGGAGGCTAGTCCAGCACTGTACTGCCCTGGTCCTGACAGACTAGGAGGCTAGTCACAGCACTGTCTGCCCTGGTCCTGACAGACTAGGAGGCTAGTCACAGCACTGTACTGCCCTGGTCCTGACAGACTAGGAGGCTAGTCACAGCACTGTACTGCCCTGGTCCTGACAGACTAGGAGGCTAGTCACAGCACTGTACTGCCCTGGTCCTGACAGACTAGGAGGCTAGTCACAGCACTGTACTGCCTGGTCCTGACGACTAGGAGGCTAGTCCAGCACTGTACTGCCCTGGTCCTGACAGACTAGGAGGCTAGTCACAGCACTGTACTGCCCTGGTCCTGACAGACTAGGAGGCTAGTCACAGCACTGTACTGCCCTGGTCCTGACAGACTAGGAGGCTAGTCACAGCACTGTACTGCCCTGGTCCTGACAGACTAGGTGCTAGTCACAGCACTGTACTGCCCTGGTCCTGACAGACTAGGAGGCTAGTCACAGCACTGTACTGCCCTGGTCCTGACAGACTAGGAGGCTAGTCAACAGCACTGTAACTGCCCTGGTCCTGACAGACTAGGAGGCTAGTCACAGCACTGTACTGCCCTGGTCCTGACAGACTAGGAGGCTGGTCACAGCACTGTACTGCCCTGGTCCTGACAGACTAGGAGGCTAGTCACAGCACTGTCCTGCCCTGGTCCTGTTTACAAGCTAGCTACACACAGTCAGTCAGTCAGCACCATGAATTACTAAAGGAATATGATTTATGGATGACTGGCAAACTGTGCAAAGCATGCTGCTGTCGGGAGATACGAGGAGAGGAGCAACACTCCAGGCTGCAAAAAACACTCCTTGGTGTCAAGAGCCAGTTTATAAATGAAGTACTTTAGCATTCTGGGAGCACACATTTTGGTTGGTGGAGAGAAATGACAACCAGTGAGTGTGTGACTCAGTGGAGATAGTACAGAGAGGAGGGAGGGAACGGAGAGGGAGGGTGGGATCGGAGGGAGGGACGGGAAACTGAGGGGAGGGAGGAACCGAGGGGAGGGCACGGAACAGAGGGGAGGGAGTGAACTAGAGGGAGGGAGGAACAGAAGGGGAGAGAGGAAACAGAGGGGAGGGAGGAACAATGCGGGTAGGGAGGAACAGAGGGGAGAGACGAGGGGAGGGAGGAACAGAGGGGAGGGAGGAACAGAGGGAGGGAGGAACAGAGGGGAAGAGGTAGGAACATATTTAGTAACAGAGTGAGGGAGGAACAGAGGAAGGAACAGATGGTAGGGGAACAGAGGAGGTAGGAACAGAGGGGGGAGGGAGTAACAGATTGGAGATGTAACATAGGGGAGGGAGGAACAGAGGGAGGGAGAAAAGGAGGGTGATGAGAACAGAGGGTGAGGTAGGAACATAGGGGAGAAGGAACAGAGGGGAGGGAGTAACAGAGGGAGGGAGGAACAGATGGGAGGGAGGAACATAGGGAGGAACCGAGATAGGGAGAACAGAGGGGAGGGAGAAACAGAGGGGAGTACACTAGGAACAGAGGTGGAAGGAGGAACAGAGGGAGGGAGAACAGAGGGGGATAGAGGAACAGAGGGGAGGGAAACAGAGGGGAGAGAGGAACAGAGGGAGGGAGGAACAGAGGGTAGGAGAACAGATGGGAGGGAGGAACAGAGGGGAGGGAGCGAGGGAGGAACAGAGGGAGGAACGAGTGAAGGGAGGAACATAGGGGAGGAGAAAGAGGGGAGAGAGGAACAGAGGGGAGGGAGGAACAGAGGGAGGGAGGAACAGAGGGGAGGGAGGAACAGAGGAGAGGGAGGAACAGAGGGGAGGGAGGAACAGAGGGGAGGGAGGAACAGAGGGAGGTCAGGGAGAACATAGGGGAGTGAGGGGGAACAGAGGGGCGGAACAGAGGGGGAGTGAGGAACAGAGAGAGGGAGGAACATAGAGGGGAGGGAGGAACAGAGGTAGTGAGTAACAGAGGGAGTAACAGATTGTGGGAAGGAGGAACAGGAGGGAGGGCGGAACAGAGGGAGAGAGGAACAGAGGGGAGGGAGTGGAACAGAAGGGAGGGAGGAACAAGTGTAGAAACCAGAGGTTGGGGGCGGACAGAGGAGAGGAGGAAGAGGGAGAGAGGAACAGAGGGGAGAGCGAACATAGGGTGGGAGGGAGGAACAGAGGGGGGAGGAACAGGGAGGAGGAACAGAGGGGGGGGAGGAACAATGGGGAGGGAGGAAACAGAGGGGAGGAGGAACAGAGGGGAGAAGGAAGGAGGGGATGGGAGGCGGAGGGAGGGGAACATGGAGAGGGAGGAACCTAGGGGAGGGAGGAACAGAGGGTGTGAGGGAGGAACACACAGAGGGGACAGGGGCAGGAACAGAGGGGAGGGAGGGGGAAGAGGAACTAGGAGAGGACGAGCGAACAGAGAGGAGGGACAGGAACAGAGGTGAGGGAGGAACAGAGGGAGTGAAACGGAGGGAGGGAGGAACAGAGGAGAGGAGGGGGGATGGAAGGAACGGAGGGAAGGGAGGGAACAGAGGGGAGGGAGGAACAGAGGAGAGGGAGGGGATGGAAGGAACGGAGGGAAGGGAGGGAACAGAGGGGAGGGAGGAACAGAGGAGGAGGAGTGGAATGAAGGAACGGACGGGAACGTGAGGAAACAGAGGGGAGGGAGGAACAGAGGAGAGGGAGGGGATGGAAGGAACAGAGGGGAGGGAGGGAAGGGAGGGGAGGGAGGAACAGAGGGGAGGGAGGAACAGAGGGGAGGGAGGGAAGGGAGGGCCTGTAGTGTGTAGCAGGATCATTAGCTGACCAACTAGTCCAAGTCCTCATGTCTGGACTACATTTTATTTCCTTACCACTCAGAAATGTAACCAGCAACACAGTATCAAGTGCACCCTGCCTGGGAGAAACAGTGTTACACCAGGAGACGCAGGCCAAAGCTTCAACAAGCTGACAATACAAAAGCCTGTCTGGTCCTGCTTGTGATGACAAGGACAGAAAGCGATCTCTATCCGTTGTAGTAGAAGTAATGACTGGAGGTCTGCTGAAAGGGGCTAACATTACTCTCTCCAATAGCAGTCCTCCATTCAGCCTGTAGATAATAACATTCAGTCTGGTAACAAGGCACGAGGGAGTCAGAGGGAGAGAGAGAGAGGCTGGCTGGTTGTCTTCAATATTTAGTAGTGTTATATTTTCATTTCACAGTGCTCATGCGTTGGCCAAGCAACAGATTGTCTTTCTGGTTGAGCTCTTACACAATCATAGCAGCGAAGGACAGACAGTCTCAGTCACATTGCAGTGGGGACTTACAACTGGGGGTTTATTCTGCACAGAAAAACTCCTGAAAATGGAAGACACATTTGGAAGACAATTTAATAGATAGAACTAGCCTACTTATCTCACACTGGAGGCAGATATCTAAGCAGAAACCTAAGCCCTGAAGAGATGAGTCCTATATCTCTCATCTGAAGAGATGAGTCCTATACGTCTCTCTTCTTAAAGGAGGTGGTTATTATTAGAGACGCGGCAATACCTATTGATTGTCCCTGAGGGGATGTG